ACACACACACATATGTGTGTGTATGTGTATAAACATATATATATAATTATATATAAATTATAAGGAAATTTCTCATGTGATTATAAAAGCCAGCAAGTCCAAAATCTTTAGAGGCAAATGTCTCACTTCAAAGACAGGCAGAAAAATTCTCTTACTCAGGGGATGGTTATGCTTTAAACTGTGCTTGGATGAGGCCCACCCACATCATGGAGGGCAGTCTGCTTTTCTCAGTCTGCCAATTTAAATGTTGGCCTCATCTGAAAACACTCTCACAGCATGATTTTCAACCCAATACTTGGGCAGCTGATGGCACAGTCAGGTTGACCCATAAATTTAATCACCACAGATACGTACGTACTTGTGAAGTTCCAAAGCTTCGTTCTTTCCCTAGAGCAGGTCATGGCCATAGTTCAGGTGGTTGCTTGAAGCAGTTCGTTCGTTTACTGAGTGAACCTCTCGGTGGACATTGGCCATGTATGGTTTCAGTCACGTATGTAATTTAGTGGGTTTTCAGTTTCCATTTTCCTGTAGTGGAAATAAAATCTATAGGAAGACAAGGAAGTTTGGAATATGTCTGGCATTGGAGCTAAGATCTCTGTGAAATCCCTCCGTGAGTTTAAAATGCTGTGTGAGCCTTTTCCCTCTATTCGTTCCTCTCTTGTCTACTGAAGCATGGTTTTCTAGTGTCTTTTAGCCTCCGTTTTATGCATATTGAGATGTCAGTCAGATATGATCAGAGACTCTTGAAAAGCTTAGTCATTGCAGCCATCAAGGGAAAAAGAGTGAAGCATCTGAAATCATAGAGGTGCATAAGATCTATTTTTACATCAGTGGGCAAAGGGTGTGTTTGTAAGAGTCCAACACCAGAACATATTCTGCCTTTTAGACAGAGTGGCTACCATCTCTGTAGGAAGCAATGAACAGCAGTCTAGTTAAATGATGCCAACATCACCGCACGTGTCACTGGTAGTCTGCCAGAGTGCTCTTGGTAAAACTAGCTGTTTCAGCAATGAGGGCCGGGTTTGATTAAAATAGCACTGGGCAACAGCTTTGTGGAGCAGGAGCTTTGCAAAGGATCTAGGTCATGTTACAGTTGGGGAATCTCCTTCATTCTAAATTTTTCCTTTCATGCCAAACATAACCCTAAAGCAATTCCTCAGTTCCCGACTTCTCTTGGAGGCTTAACAATGGCACTGTTTGACTCTTAGATGACCTACAGTTCTTAGATTTTATTTAGCTTTCAACAGAGTACCTGGATTTCCTTGGTTGTCCCTGAGGGCTGCATTTCTCCTAGAGATGGAGCTGCCAGCTCTGAATGATCGCTTTAATATTTGGGTGTGATTGTTGCTTGGTCAGGTGTGACTGGCGCACAGAACCTTAGTGTTATGCTATCACAGATGGCCACATCTAAATGCTCTCCACCAGAAAATAAATGCCCCAAGACTGGTGAGAGTAAGATCAGACAATCTTTGCCAAAAACAGTCCAATGATCCAAATTACAAGCTAAACTAAACATCCAATGCTTTTATGGTAGCACATTTCTCTTCCAGAAAGATAATTCTGTGGTATGACTGTCAGGAAGCTTTTCTAAGCTTAGCCACCAGCATCGGGTGGTTTTCTGACCAATGCCTTTCTACTTGCTGACCCTAGCGACTTCTGTGCCCTGAGGATCGCAGCCAGAGGTCAGTAACAGGTGCATACCTCATTGATGGGAACAGAAGGGTGAAATATGTGGGGTGTTTAGCTCGAACCTGAGGAATAAGAGAAGCCTGTTCCCTCTCTATTCTAGCAGATAGAAAACTAAGGGCTGTGGCTTGAGAAGATTAAATCAGTCTGCTTCAGAGGAGATTAGTACCTAGATGTGTCATGAGACTGAAGCCAGAGAAATGCCACAGGGGTCTGAAAGAGAGAGGAAATCTTTAAGGCTGAGCTACCTAATAGCTAATCCGACCTTCTTGTCAAGATGTGAGATAGGTCAGTTCAACATTGACAGTTCAGAAACCAAAATTGCAGTTGAATGCTGGTTTGTTTTCATTTCTGATGGGTATATTGATAAGAAAAGTTTGAATAGACAGTTTGGAAACAAAATCAAGGGTAAAGACATCTATACAATAGCAGGTTCAAATAAACATCCCCAAGCTACATCTAATAATCTAACTACATTGTCTATTGAATGATCTACTAAAATGACCTAAAGGAACCACCTGAAAAGGTGAGCCTGTAATCACATCAAAGTAAAGGCTGCCTTGGTAAGCATTTTCTCTTGGACCAGTCTGAGCTTCATTATTATCCATTACAGTAATTACCTGGGTCTCTTCCCGGTCTTTCCCAGGGCATGGAAGAAGAGAATTTTCATTCTGGGTTAGCTCAGTGCATCTAAAATAACTCTTTTTGCTAGTGGTTTATAGAATGCCTACTTTTTGCATATAGGATTACAAAGGGTGGGTTTCCCTTTACCGAAACAAAATTCATCCTTTCCTTTCTCCAGGCAAAAGAGTCCAGAATACCTACTTGACTCATTCCTAAACTTTGTGTTGGATAAGTTCCTATTTCAGAG